ATATCAAAGGCGACGGTATGAAGACGGTCTTCCCGAGTTGAACCGAGGGTCACAGACAGCAGAGGAAAAACTGCTGAATGCAAATAATCAAATGCAATAATCACATAATTGTGCATTGATGGATTAACAATATGATCCATATGTGTAGAATAAATATTGGTCAGATGGACAGAATTTCTGAAGATTCTTTAATTTACTTTTTATCTCACAATTGCGAATTTATATCTGATGATTCTGACATCTTTTCTCAGAATTGTGAGATAAAGTCAAAATTGTAGTTTTTTGAATTCTGTGGAAGAAGCAGCGGTTTTAATATGTCCCAATATTCTGCATTTTTGACCAATTAAATGCATCTGTGCTGAGCAGAAGAGACTCGTTAAAGAATCATTATTATCCAGACTTTAGTCCGTGTGTGTGAGATGTGACACACGCATGTTTGAGTGTAGTCCACGATGGAGCCGAGTGTCGTCTCATTGATTGACTGATGAGTGCTGGATCAGTCTCAGGGTTAAAGGTCAGTCAGTCAGCTTGTGCACGACTCATGTGAAGTGTGACATGGAGACGCTGCTGTCTGAAGCAACTTCACTTCAATCATTTATAGACCTCCCTCACAGCCAGTCCTGCGCCGTCACGCGTGTGAATCGGGTCACTCCAGGAGACGAGGGTGACACACACACACACACACGCGCGCACAGAAATCAGGCCTTCGCCCACAGTGTTTCCAGTCCAGGTCAGGTTTGGGTTTAAGTGACCTGACACACTTCAGTGTCCGCTCTCAAGCACACGTTCCCACACCTCACACACACTCACACACACTAACACACACTCACATACACTCACACACACACTCGTATCACCTGCAGTCCCTCTGGAACAGCACATCTAATGCAAAGGCCTGGCGGTGTCCTGCCCAGACAGACTCAGACAGACATATAGACAGACAGACAGACAGACAGACAGACAGACAGTCAGACAGACAGTCAGATAGACAGACAGACAGTCTCGAGCTGGTCTTACACTGATCTACAGTGACTCTGCTGGTTTCTGCTGGTTAAAGTCGGTCAGTTAAAGTTCAACATGTCGAGATCCGCTGATCACTCACACTTCAAATGCAGTGTTGCATATTCAGGGTTCACACACACACACACACACACACACACACACACACACGCACACACACACACACACACTTTCATCAATGAATGTCCAAGTACATGCAATCCTGATTTCTGATTATAAAATCATTTTACAAAGATTGCAGTCTCAAAGTTCATAGCTGAGCATATTAGAAACTTGTATAATCATTAATCACTATGGAAGTTATATGAATTTATTACATTTTATTTTTATTATATTTTTCTTTCTCTCGCCGGGATGGTGTGAAACTTGGTCAAGGTTTTGGCACTTGCTCTACTGATGAACTTCTGCGGTGTCACAGCTTCCGTATGTTCTTCATTCAGATAAAGCAGCTCGTATCTGCATATCGAGCTCATCATTCCTCATAGTAACAGCTCGTTTAATTAACAATAAAGTTCACTTACACAACTAAAGAACTGAAGAAAGCACTAGATTTAGATTCACACTTGACTATCAATATCATTGAGGTTTCTAAAGGGACACTGATCAGCATAACGGCGAGTTAAAAACATTCAGGAAAATCAGCATCAGTTTCTGAAGTCGCTCAGCTCAGCTCAGCTCTAATTCTACTTTCAAGAGGACTTTGAGATATTAGTGAATGCAAGAAAGATAAAAGAGGAAAGTCCTCAAAAACTCTCTCAAGATGTCACTCAAACCAGTCAGTTCATCTAAAATTGGGTTTACCAGCCAGAGTATGCGAATACTACAGATTAAGTTAAGGCATCAATAACAACTGGAGCAAGCATTTTTTAATAACCCAACATTTTCGCTGTCCCCACAATAGACATGTCCCTTAAATCCATTTTGTTGTACAAACACCATGCAGTGTTACTTTAGTTTTATTATAGCTTTTATTTTAATATTTTTTTGTTTTCATTTTAATTTTAGTTTCCCTTTTAGTCATTTCATTATGTGCTTTTGTCATTTACATTTAAAATATTATTGATTTATTTTTATTTAAAGTCCCCCTGTAGTCAATCATTTTATCCTTTAAAACTCACCTTTGCTCAGCAAAAGTACGTAGGCTATTTAATGTTTCTTGTTTAAAGTTGTGAAAAATCGTTGTTACATTTGAAAATCATTATTATATATTATGAGCTCAAGATTTGATTACATTTTGACAAAGATTACATTATGAACATTTTATTACATAGCTATCATACACTCTAAAAAATGCTGGGTTGTTTTAACCCAACTTTGGGTCAAATATGGACTAACCCAGCCGTTGGGTTAAATTTTTACATTACATTTTTAACCCAACATTTTGGGTTTGTCCATATTTGACCCAAAATTGGGTTAAAACAACCCAGCATTTTTTAGAGTGTAGTTGCTTCAAACGAGGTTGTCTATGAAAGCCTGTAAACGGATGTAAAATGTGATGGTTTCAATACTTTGCACACACAACTTTATGTTTCACTACCAAATATCTAATTAATGTACTTACAGTGGAATTGCAGGGATGCATTCTGGGATACGATTAGAAACGCTTGATCACGGATCCCGAAATGACGCTCCGTCTGAAATCACAAACTTCACAAAAAAAATTGTCAATTTTTGGGTCAAACATGGACAAACCCATACTTTGGATTAAAAATGTAACCTAATGGCTGGGTTAGTAATCATTGGACACAAAATGGGTTAAAATAACCCAGCATGACGTGACAACGAAGTGTGATATCACCAGATATCATTTTAGATTTTTTTTTCACTTGAGTGATCAGGACACTAAAGATCATTTATGTGAGTGAGGAGTAAACTGTGACATATTACACCCAAATATTCTTCATACAGAGACTACAGTTGACATTAATACACACTTAAAACAATAATGATTCCTCCACTTTGTGTTTTAATTGCTGCCCTTTTTACACACACACACACACACTGAACAACATGAAGCATTGCTTGGTCACTGGTTGAGCTAAACTGGTATTATCTAATTGTGGAGTTCAATTGAACAGATATTCAACATAATTCATGTGTGAGAGTCCAAAAACAGTCAAATATCCACTGATCTGAGAACTGAGTTCTGCTCATGTTTTATTAGCATTTTCACCAATAAACTGATAATGTGAGAACTGTTGAAACTGTCGGAATATATTTTGTTTTGACTGTAAATGAGCAACAGGACTGTAAAATATAGTGCAAATAATCGACATGATATCCGCTAGTGCACGAGTGTTACGTGTGTGTTGTCTCATGGATTCACTGATGACGTATGTGTTGGGTCACAATCTCAGGGTTAAAGGTCAGATCGTTGCTTTCTCCTCACAGCAACACAGATAACATGAAGATGCAAGTAAGCGAGTTTTGAGTTTTCCTCATCAGATCCATCGCGCATGCGCTCGCCGTCCAATAATCAATGCGTGTTAATTACTAGGACATTCTTCAGAAACGACGAGGCTTCTCAAGCACGTATGAATCAAATCATGTGCATTTATCATACAACAAATGACTTTCAGGGCACACAGTTTAATTCTAATGCAAAATATTATGATATTCTGTCATAATCTTTTAATATTACATTGACATGCAACTCGCGGAAAAGTTCATTTATTTCAGTAATTCAACTTAAAAGGTGACACTAATATATTATATAGACGCATTACATGCAAAGTGAGATATTTCAAGCCTTTATTTGTTATGATTTATGTTAATTACTGGGACATTCTTCAGAAACGACGAGGCTTACGCACGTATGAATCAAATCATGCATTTATCAAGTAACAAATGACTTTCAGGGCAGAAATGACAGGCTTATTCGAGTCTAATGGGAAAACAGTTTAATTATAATGCAAAATATTAAGATATTCTGTCATAATCTTTTAATGTTACATTGACATATGGACGTGAAACTGAAAGGGTGAAACATCCAAAGCAAACATATATTAATAATGTGTCGCCATCTAGTGTGGAAGAAGGATAATGACTATAGTAATAACTGTCGAATTATACATTCCCATGATCTTTGCGCACGGATAACACACACACACACGCTCTTTCACTCTCTGATGATAAAATGTAAAACAAAAGCTGATTTTAATGTAAAAAAGTGTGTTTTCGTCCGGTGTTTTTTCTTCTGCTGTGATGCATTTTAATTGATCCATTTATCACTAGGTTGTTTAAGAGTTAAGAAATGACAGATACAATTTTAATTGTAATACTTAATTATGAAATAAATATGAAATGAACATTATTACATTAAAGTTCCACTCTAGTAAAAGACTAGGGTTCTTTCCTAATCAAAACTATTACAGAGATTACTATTAAAAACTATTATTAAAAATAAATATAAATATTAGTAACAAAAATAAAAAAAGGAAAAATAGAAACATTGCCTTGAGTTTGGGGCACTAAACGTATTAACAGCTAACTAAATCTAGAAAAAAAACAACACTAATTCATTTATAATTCTAATGTACTTTTGCTTTACGCACAAATTTTGATAAATTTAACTGTATTACCATATAAAGTTAAAAACTATTTAGAAATATTAAATATTAAGATCCACACAAATGATTATTAATATGAATATTCATGTAATATTAGGCCCTCTAGCGGCAAAAAAACAACATACATGCCTTTTGCGGGAGAACATTGTTTAGTTGTGGTCGCGCTTCGGCTCTATCCGCTGCTCATAACACACTTCCTTCAACAAACAAACAAACAAACAAACAAACCTCCAGCACAACAACTATAATGATCCTCACAATAGAGAATGCTTTACAGTGAACACTTTCTCTCTCTCTCTCTCACACACACACACACACACACACGTGTACTAAAAGCGTGATTCAGCACTATGATGAGTGGTTCTTGTGCAGAATGGCAGTAGGTTATAAAGACACGTCTCGAGGAGCTCATCCTGTATCATCACAAGTTTATTAAGAGACTGTACAATACAAATGAAAAATAAAATTAAAAATACCATAAATGGAGAACGTAAGAAAGCAAACCGAGGTTTGGACAGGTTCTGCAGATCCTGTACAGCGACGCACACGCTGAGCACATATTACGGTCTCGGTGTACGCGTACATATATAATATATAAAAATAACTGAAATAACATTAATGAAGTTATATGAGGTGTTCAAAGGATATTGACTAGACAGACTCTACACTTCTGCGATAAGAGAAAAACTAAATCATTAGCCAAAAAAAGCAAATAACGCGTTTCCCATCCTCCAGACGTCACGTGTGTGTGTGTGTGTGTGTGTGTGCGCTGCGTGATCGGCTCGTCACACGTGTTCAACGGGGGGGATAATAAAGCACAGCCTCGGTCTGTCACGAGGCTCATGTTACGCATCAGGAAAATCCAGAGGTTTGGAATATAGCGTCGGACGTCATCTGTTTAGATCGGTGTGTGTGTGTGTGTGTGTGTGTGTTTGGCTTGACGTTCCCGACGGTCCTCGAACCGGGAACAGGATTGGCCAATGAGAGCAACCTGGGCATCATCACACTCATTTTAAAAGATCTTCCCTTTCTTCTTATTCTTGTCCAACGTCCTGTGTGGGAAACAACAGGATAATGAGTGATTAGCATTAGCATTAGCATTATGGAGGAGTGTGTGTTTACAGTACACACAAGTGAAACTCGAAACAGTAGAATATGGTGCAAAAGTTCAGTATTTCAACTTAAAAGGTTAAACTATTATATTATATAGACTCGTTACATGCAAAGTGAGATATTTCAAGCCTTTATTTGTTATAATTGTGATGATTATCATAGATGTGTGTATATAAAGGCTAGATATATTACGGCGGAGTTTCCATCGTCATCACCGGCGGCCATCTTGTCACAGGCAAGCTGATGTGAGATGAGTGGTCAGAACGAACACAAATGCTCTTATCTCGTTGAAATCTTGACGGATTTATAAACGGTTTGGTTTGATTAACGTGGCTATAATTATCTGGATGATTATTTATTTATACACTTTTTATTCATAAGTATGCAGTTTCATAACTACATCTCTGACGTTTAGAACAAAACAAACTTGAAAATTGAGCAAGTTATGGTCATTTAAACAGTACATGTACCATTAACACAATGTTACGAGTGAGCGAGCCGCCTGTGACAAGATGGCTGCCGGGTGCAGACGTCGACCTCCATTGGCCAGCAGCGCTGACGACACATCTAGCCTTTATATAGATATCTATGATGATTATGGCTTACAGATATGAAAACGCCAAATTCAAAAGTCGAATATTGTGAAAAGGTTTTCATATCTGTAAACTATTATAACCAATAAAGTGACGGGGACGTACATCTTCTGCTGCTCCAGGATCCTCTGCTGGGTCTCCCAGGTGGAGCGCTCCTCCTCCAGCTGACGCCGCCGCTCCTCCAGCTCCTTATGCTGGGCCTCCAGGTTCTTCTTCATCTGCTCGTGGCGGCGCTGGAGCTGCGGGTCACACACACACACACACTCCAGTCAGCTTCAGGTACACAGATAACGGGATAATAACGCAGCAGATTGAGGACTTGCACTAACAAAGCATTCAGAAACTCCGCTTTCAGGATTCGGACACACACTGGAAATTAATTTAGTGGGCGTACTTCGTATGGAGAACAGGTCTGATGGGGGTTCATCACACGGCCATTTTGCGTGAAAAGATTATATTTGTGTGTTTTAATATATAATTCGATCACTTTTCCAGTTCCTCTTGATAGATACTGCTGTTTTCCAAGTACTTCAGGCACCTTCTCAAACCCTGGTTTTTATTCATATTTTTATATTGCTATTACTATACTAGTTATATCGTATTTTTATTACATTATATACAAGCATCAATAATAATTTTGTTTTTTAAACGTCTATAGCTTTTCATTTTTGTTTCAGTTATTTTAGTACATCAATTGAATGAACATGAGAAACATGGTTTTTATATTTTATGTAATTTATTTATTTTTAGTAAACTATAATTACCCTGGTGTGCAAATATGCAGACAAGTATATATCAAAGAACACACACACATAGAAGGAATATAAAATCAAATTATTAAATATGACTAAATATCACTATATTAATTTTGTGAAATACAGCGTCAACAAAGACTTGATTATTTTTATCCAAATTCTTACTATTTTACTTCTTGCATTACACATTTTGCAATTACAGTGGTTTATATGGATCAAACTAGTTCCTTCTAAAATAAAACAAAATTTAAATTAAATATAGTAATAAAATAAATAAAAAAATAAATTAAATAAAAAAGGTGATTCAATTAAAAAAAATGACATAAAAAAAATACAATTAAAGTACATAAATGAAAGCCAAGAGCAAAGGTTTATATTATAGGCTACTATTAAAATATAATATCCCGAAAAATATGTGCTAAAATTTATAATTAATATAATTAAAAATTAAATAAATAAAAAAAATAATTTTTTTTTTTACTAAACTACAGTTCCTTCTAAAACAAAACAATTTAGAAAATACATTAAATTATGTAAAAATAAAATAAAAAGTATAAAAAAATAATATATATATATATATATATAGAAATGTAATAAAAAAACTACATTCAAATAAAAAAATAAATACAATTAAAGTGATATAATTAAAAATAAATTAAATAATAAAATAATTAACTTAATTAAAATGAAGGTTTACATTCTACACTTAAAATTTTATATATAGGGATATAATAATTTATAAAGATGTGCCAGGACCCACAATGCATGTGTGTGTGTGTGTGTCAGTACCTCTGCCTCTGAATCCTTCAGCTTCTGGATCTTCTCCTTGACCTTCATCTCGAAGACCTGCTCCATCTCCATCTCCATCTTCTTCATCTTGGACACATGCTCTCGCCTCTCCTCCTCCATCTGGGCCAGGGGACTCCTGCCACAAACACACGCAATCAGCACCCTCTCCCGCAGTGTGTGTGTGTGTGTGTGTGGGGGGGGCACCCGTGACCACAACACATCCCTGCGCTTCAGTCTCGCGCAGGCAGAGGAAAGAGGAGGAAGAACACACACACATCTCGACTCCAGAGGAACTGAAAGCTGTTAAAGGCCGAAGCATGTGTGCTGATCAGAGTTAGTGAGCGGAGCAGAAGCTGAAAGACGAGCGTATGAAACAGATTTTGATTGAAATGATGATGCATCTCAATTTCTGCCACTCAAAACAAGTCGTAGATTTTATTCCAGTCCCTCCGGGTGTTCGCCATCGCAAAATCAACAAAACGTCACTGCAAAAAAAAATGCTTTTAATCATAAAAAATAAGTAATATTAACTAGTTGGATTTACCCAAATGGATTATTTTCATGAGGATACAGACGTTGTGACTATTGAGCATGTAACATAACACATAAGGTAAATGCCGTATCCTAATTATTAAAAATACGTAACTCCACATAATTCTGGAAATTACCACCACAAAATTAAAATCACACAAAAATCTGGCGAAATCCTGCAGGGACTCTTATTAATGAAATGTAAGCAGAATTCATTTCTTGTCGCACTGAATTGTTTTGCGAATCAAAGGTGGAGAAAGTCTTGAGATGCATCAGCCAATCAGTGTTCTCTCGCACCCAGAGACTGATCCTGGACCAGATATTTCACATCTTAATCACAAGCTCTATAACCCCCGGGGAAAACTGCTGGAAAAGGAGGGATGACGCAGACACGGTTCCCAGAGGAAGAGAGGACCCGCACTACACAGGGATTCGGGGAAATGTAAATGACCACTTACATGCCGTCAACCGTGTCATCTCTAAAAAACAAAAACACACACACACTTAGCATGCGGCAAATCATACAGTGGAGAGCAAAATACTGTGTGAACAGAAGTGTAGTCTGGACTATAACGCTCTTTCCTGCAAGAGGACGCTTCAGTTAGACGTGACTGCGCGTGGACAGACTCATGCGTGCGTGCGTGTGTGTGTGTTAAGAGTTCGACTTCTTAAAGTTATCGGCCACAGCAAAACTGAAGCCATCTCAGACTTAGTCAACAAGAGAAACGCATCTTTTTCAAGCTATTAAAGAAATCTCTGCCACAATCAAAATCAACCTCATTTACATATATTACATATTTTAATTTGTTATATTTTTTAATTGCACTTTTTAACTGGCAATCCTAACCCTTGCTGGCAAATGGAATACACTTTCTATGAAGACCATGCTTGTATATGGCTCAATTTATACTTAATTATAAGTATAACTATTTTATAAGCTCATTATGACCTATCCGGCGTTTTAAGTTTTAATAAGTAATTATTAAAAAAATAATATAAATATAAGTCATGCATTTGTGTTTTCAATGCACATGCTGATAATCCATTATTAATTAGTCAGTTATATGGTTCCAATTAATGTACTTATAAATATGCATTGCTATTATAGTTGCAATGACTTTAGTAATTATTTTTGTCAAATAAGTGAATATATTGTTATTAATAGCCGTGATGTGTTCTTATATCTACTTATTGTGAGTGAAAATACAGTTATTATGCTCTATGAATGCTTTAAATAAAACTAAAAACATAGGATGCAATTTTAATCAAAATGTTAAGAAATCAGGAAGATGTGCTCATCATACATGTTAAGTTGTAAACTAATGAACTGTAATTCCTGTGTATAAAAATAAATAATTCCTGTAATAAAATAATGGGGGGAAAAACTGTAAATCAAACCTTTTCAATATTACAATATTATATAAAGTATAATTTCAAACTATTCTAAGCAATAATTACCATTCTTGACCTCTGATGCACACATTAGCCGTTAAAGACACGGTTGTACAGTAAACAAATTTCTCTGGAACTATCTTATATTTGATCATTTATAAAATAAGTGTATAATGGATTATGAGCATGTGCATTAAAAAAGCAAATTCATTATTAGAAAAAATAACTATAAATGTTCTTATAATGCAGTATAGGTCTTTATAAATATATTTATACAATAGTAATACTTACACATAAGTATAAATGGGGTTATAATTAATTCTAAGCATGGGCTTCATAGAAAGTGTTGCCCTACATTTCCCCCAAGTGAATATATCCTGTTCGACTTATAAAGTGCATGATGTCATGTTGAAGACCGGCTTTAGATCGGTCTCTCTCTGCTTTACCAGACAACAGGAAATGATGCAACATTAAATGTTACAATGACATTTGCCAACTGAGCATCACTTAAATAAACAGACCGTAAACCTTAATAAATAGATGCACAAATTCAGGGAAATGAAAAAAAAAAGCGCTTTACAAACGTTCAGCATTAAAGTTAATACGGTTATATTGGGTTAATTTTCCCGCCGAAAAAAGAACATTTTGAAAAATGTAGGAGTGCATTGAAAATGTACTAAATCATTATTTATCCAGAGAGTCACTACTAGCTAAATTATATTATTTATTTGAATACAAAAACTTTAAATATTTCTACTTCAAACTGTATTTATGTAATAATTATGAAATTATGTTTATTCTAAACATAGAATTAAATGCCAGATAAATATTAGTTTTGTAATAATCGTAAGAACAAAACCAAAACTGCATTAATTTAATTTGAAACAAGCACAAAACACACCAGGACTCTTATTTTGAAATGTCGCCAGCTGCTCATTCACACACATGAGAAAGCTATGCTCTCTTACGACCATCTGACACATATTCACCAAAACACTGCGTGAAAGGTCACGTTCTCGGATCACACACACTGAGGGTGTGTAATCTCACTAAAGGCTTACTTGGAGAGCTGTCCTCGGGCTCGGTTGTTGTCGATGCCGTTACAGGTCACGGCCGCCAGCTTTCTGCTTCTGTAGTTCTCATAGTGAACGTTATTCGTGACGTCCTTGAGGTCCTGCATGTGTGTTCTGACACAAAACACACGGTTACGGCAAAACGCCTCATACTTCATTAAACAGGGACGTTTGTATACAACGATGACATTATTTTAGATGCATAAAATATATTAAATGCATTTACCTGATGAGCATATTCCTTACGAGTGTGAAATCACAGTGGTCTCCATTCTCCACTGCGCAGAAAGAAACGGGAATAAGGTTTTACACGCATCATCAAGATATTATATTATTATATTATTATCGTATAGTTGTTGACTGCTGGACAGAGGTTGACCTCATATACAGCAATTTCAGCATATAAACATATCCAGGAAAATTACAGGAAAAAAATTACTATGTGAATATACAGTAAAGTGTAATTTATTCCTCGTCATTACTCCAGTCTTCAGTGTCACATGATCCTTCAGAAATCACTCTAATATGATGATCTGATGATCAAGACACCAGTTATTATGATTATTATCAGTGTTGAAAACTGTTCAGATTTTTTTGAAACCATTACACTTTATTTTTTTCAGGATTTCAAGATGAATCAAAAGGAGAGCATTTATTTGAAAAATATTTTGAAATAGTCTTCACTATAACCGTCCATCAAATTAATGTATACTTTCAGAAAAATAAAAATCGCATTCGCAGTCGTATATTCACCACAGAAACTCCAAAGACTTTAAGATGAAACATCCAGGAATAATTTGGCCGAGTTTAGTTCAATATTCTCTAATTTACTGATTATTCACAAAAAGCAAAATTACCATCCATAGTTTTTTATTTTAATGTAACCTCCTCAAGCGAAGCACATTTACCTTCGGCCACGCCCCACGGGTACTGCCGTCCCCTGACCTTCTTCCCGTTCGCCTCGATGATAGTGTTGCTCCCAACCACAGCGAGAGGCAGCCGATCCTGTGAGTGTGTGTGTGAGAGAGAGAGAGAGATCATAATTCTTTAATTTTTTACATTCCAAAACTTATACATTCATAATCTCATATTCAAACATTACATAATAAAATGATAACATGTATAAACCCACAGATGTATAAAAAAAGTATATTTTTTAAATGAAAATTAAGAGCCATCACATCATCATAAATGGTGAATAAAAACCCATATTTCAATAAAAAACAATTGTGCAGTCCCAATCAGATAGCGTAATAAACACTTTCCTTCTCATCTAAAGTCCATCTTTAACCCTCCGATGAACTCCTGATCCGAAAACCCTTTGTTAAATTCCCTGACCCATTCAAGAAGTTTAAAAACGAATGTCCCGAACACTCCTCTTCTCAAAACCGAGAGAATTCCAATTCCAACAAACTATTATAAATCAAATTCACAGTATATTTAAATTACAATATGCAAAAATATAAAGCACAACTCCAACTCACAAAAAAAATGTGCAAAAACCAAATCCCCTTCAGACATGATGTGATCACACACGCTTGCAGAAGCAAACATCAAATCAATATTCGTGCTCGCACTTGTTTTCAGAAACTACATTCTGCTCAACGTTTACTTTCTTTTCATACTTCTTCTATAAATAGACATTTTTGCTTGGCCTAAAACTAAATCAGCAACTGACATACAAATCGTTTTACACCACAACATAAATAACAGGTGAAACTCGAAAAATCTGAATATCGTGCAAACGTATTTCAGCAATTCAAAATAATATATTTAGTATATATACACATACAAACATGTATTATACTTTTCAGAGGGCCGACATTTCTGTATTTAAAATCCATTTTTTTTTATTGATTTCATGTAATATTAAACATTTCTGAGATTTAGAATTTGGGTTTTTTTTATAAACTGTAATCCATAATCATTACAATTATAACAAATACAGGCTTGAAATATCTCACTTAGAGTCTATTTAATATATTAGTTTCACCTTTTAAGTTGAATTTCTGAAATAAATGAGCTTTTGCACAATAATCACATTAAGCTGTATCGTCATTCTTAAATATTTAAGTTTTTAACCTTACTTTTTATTCACACACACATACTCCTAGATACAGTTCACATCTATTTTTATTCGCAGGTGTGTGTGAAATGCTTGAACTGTCTAGTCCTGATTACACACATGTTGTTAAAAGACTTCATTTGTTTTAAGTGGGAACGATTTCTTGCACAAATGTGGAACTCTTACTTTGATTTTCTTCACGATCTTGTTTTCTTCCTCATCATCCGTCTCTGGAAACTCGTAGATTTTGATCTTGTGCTCCAGGATTTCTCGCATAATCTAGAGAAACACAACAGCGTCACACAAGCTTTCAGAGGATCGCCGAGAGCGAGAGTTCAGGCTTGAGGAACATCCTCGCTTTATTTGTGCTCAAATCGCTTCATCTGATCTTTCCCGTCTGGGCGGCACTTCTGTGCTCCTGTTCCCGGTTCCTGTAGGGATAATACTCTGACAGATGGCAGAACACTCAAGACACACACACAGCACTCAAGAGACACACACAACACTCAGGAGACACACACACGGTGCCGGAGGCCTGAACTCCTGCTGTCTCTTTAGCCTTTTCCTTAAAGGGATACTTCACCCAAAAATGAAAACTAGCCCATGATTTACTCACCCTGAAGTCATCCTAGTGTGTATGCCACTCTTCTGTCAGACGAACACAATCAGAGTTATATTAAACATGTCCTGACTCTTCCAAGCTTTATAATGGCAGTCAACAGCCATTTCTATGATGGACAGATGCACTTTTATGATGAATAGATGCACTTTTATGATGAATAGATGTACTTTTATGATGGACAGATGCACTTTTAAGATGGAAAGATGCACTTTTATGATGAATAGATGCACTTTTATGATGAATAGATGCACTTTTATGATGATAGATGCACTTTTATGATGGACAGATGCACTTTTATGATGGACAGATGCACTTTTATGATGGACAGATGCACTTTTATGATGGACAGATGCACTTTTATGATGGACAGATGCACTTTTATGATGGACAGATGCACTTTTATGATGGATAGATGCACTTTTATGATGAATAGATGCACTTTTATGATGAATAGATGTACTTTTATGATGGACAGATGCACTTTTATGATGAATAGATGCACTTTTATGATGAATAGATGCACTTTTATGATGGATAGATGCACTTTTATGATGGACAGATGCACTTTTATGATGGACAGATGCACTTTTATGATGGACAGATGCACTTTTATGATGGACAGATGCACTTTTATGATGGACAGATGCACTTTTATGATGGACAGATGCACTTTTATGATGGACAGATGCACTTTTATGATGGATAGATGCACTTTTATGATGGACAGATGCACTTTTATGATGGACAGATGCACTTTTATGATGGATAGATGCACTTTTATGATGAATAGATGCACTTTTATGATGGACAGATGCACTTTTATGATGGACAGATGCACTTTTATGATGAATAGATGCACTTTTATGATGGATAGATGCACTTTTATGATGAATAGATGCACTTTTAAGATGGAAAGATGGGCTTTTATGATGGATAGATGCACTTTTATGATGAATAGATGTACTTTTATAATGGATAGATGCACTTTTATGATGGACAGATGCACTTTTAAGATGGAAAGATGCACTTTTATGATGAATAGATGCACTTTTATGATGAATAGATGCACTTTTAAGATGGAAAGATGGGCTTTTATGATGGATAGATGCACTTTTATGATGAATAGATGCACTTTTATGATGGACAGATGCACTTTTATGATGGACAGATGCACTTTTATGATGGATAGATGCACTTTTATGATGAATAGATGCACTTTTATGATGGATAGATGCACTTTTATGATGAATAGATGCACTTTTATGATGAATAGATGCACTTTTAAGATGGAAAGATGGGCTTTTATGATGGACAGATGCACTTTTATGATGGATAGATGCACTTTTATGATGAATAGATGCACTTTTATGATGAATAGATGCACTTTTATGATGAATAGATGCACTTTTATGATGGACAGATGCACTTTTATGATGAATAGATGCACTTTTATGATGAATAGATGCACTTTTAAGATGGAAAGATGGGCTTTTATGATGGATAGATGCACTTTTATGATGAATAGATGCACTTTTATGATGGACAGATGCACTTTTATGATGGACAGATGCACTTTTATGATGGATAGATGCACTTTTATGATGGACAGATGCACTTTTATGATGGACAGATGCACTTTTATGATGGACAGATGCACTTTTATGATGGATAGATGCACTTTTATGATGGATAGATGCACTTTTAAGATGGACAGATGCACTTTTATGATGGACAGATGCACTTTTATGATGGACAGATGCACTTTTATGATGGACAGATGCACTTTTATGATGGACAGATGCACTTTTATGATGGATAGATGCACTTTTATGATGAATAGATGCACTTTTATGATGGACAGATGCACTTTTATGATGGACAGATGCACTTTTATGATGGATAGATGCACTTTTATGATGAATAGATGCACTTTTATGATGGATAGATGCACTTTTATGATGAATAGATGCACTTTTAAGATGGAAAGATGGGCTTTTATGATGGATAGATGCACTTTTATGATGAATAGATGCACTTTTATGATGGACAGATGCACTTTATGATGGACAGATGCACTTTTATGATGGACAGATGCACTTTTATGATGGACAGATGCACTTTTATGATGGACAGATGCACTTTTATGATGGATAGATGCACTTTTATGATGGATAGATGCACTTTTATGATGAATAGATGCACTTTTAAGATGGAAAGATGGGCTTTTATGATGGATAGATGCACTTTTATGATGGACAGATGCACTTTTATGATGGACAGATGCACTTTTATGATGGATTCGCCTTATTCACTTGGCGGCCATTTTGAAAATGGAACGCCGCTGAGGGGTACACTCACCCGGAAGGATGCATGCGACGCAGCAGCACCAGCAATGAAAACTCGCAATGCGGACCACCAATCATTCCTGTCTGCCCGAATTAACGATGCAAAATGTGAAGCAAAGTGCCAGTGACTGAAACATCCCCCGGGCTGTGTTAATTAAGGGATACAGTACCTGTATCGGAGGTTTTATCCACGACATTGAACGTAAGAATGGACGCCAATTTACCTCAGTTTCTGCAAGCTTGTAGGAAGTTGACTGTGTACTATTAGAATCTATACAAATCCATTACCATCATTATTTTTATTCTTTATGAATCTATACATATATGTAAACTTGTATTGTCACCATAGCAGCTTATTATTGTCAGTGTGTAACAGTCCCTGTCAGACCTTAAAATCACTTCTCCTCTTTCCTTTTACATACATGTGCGTGATTTGATTGTTTTACATGCATGTGTGTGTATGTAAGCTACTGGATGTGTATCTATCTAAACAATAAAGTACAATTGTATCTAACATAGTAACTTACACAGTCAACAACTCCATATTACAGCTTAGCTTACTAACGTTAATTACCTCTGGCTGCTGCAAGCTCGCAGAAACTGGCAAGGCGTCCATTCCTACGTTCAATGTCGTGGATAAAACCTCCGATACAGGTACTGTATCCCTTAATTAACACAGCCCGGGGGATGTTTCAGTCACTGGCACTTTGCTTCACATTTTGCATCGTTAATTCGGGCAGACAGGAATGATTGGTGGTCCGCATTGCGAGTTTTCATTGCTGGTGCTGCTGCGTCGCATGCATCCTTCCGGGTGAGTGTACCCCTCAGCGGCGTTCCATTTTCAAAATGGCCGCCAAGTGAATAAGGCGAATAGATGCACTTTTATGATGGATAGATGCACTTTTAAGATGGAAAGATGCACTTTTATGATGGAAAGATGCACTTTTATGATGGATAGATGCACTTTTATGATGGATAGATGCACTTTTAAGATGGAAAGATGCACTTTTATGATGGACAGATGCACTTTTATGATGGATAGATGCACTTTTATGATGGATTGATGCACTTTTTTGGACTTCTAAAGGCATACACCATTCACAACCATTACAAAGTTTGGAAGAGTCAGGACATGTTTAATATAACTCTGATTATGTTCGTCTGAAAGTAGAATGTAAATATACACCTAGGATGACTTCAGGTTGAGTAAATCATGGGCTAATTTAATCAGGAGTTTAAACAGACATGACTAGGCGGCCGACTGACCTGTTTCTTGAACTGTTGGCACTCTTCGGGGGTCAGAGTATCTGCTTTGGCAATCAGTGGGATGATGTTGACCTTCTCATGCAACCGTTTCATAAACTCGATGTCCAAAGGTTTCAGTCTGGTGCAAAAGCAAACAACACAACACCAGGTTAAAGATGTAAGGATGACAGTTCTCTCACTGTCTTGAGTGGTGTTAAAGACTAATACAAGAACCACTGTCTTGTGGTTAACTTAACAGGTCCTCTTTAAGAGTAATAAGAGCAGCTCACCCATGCCCTGACGGTGCGATGAAGTACAGGCAACAGTGAACTCTGCTGTCCGGCATCTGCCGTCTGTTCACACGGGACTCTGCGTTCAGATAATCCTCAAACTTACTGTCGATGTGATCAATGACCGGCTGCCAGCTGGAGCAGAACACACAGATCAGGTCACACTTTAGGCTCACAGTAACACCACCTAATTATATCAAGCAAACTGACATTAGGGCTGCACAATACATCGAAATATCGCGATATGCATATCGCAACGGCTTACAATAACTGAACAGGAACACTGCTCTTAGCTGAATAACTTTTGTAGCTTTCATAAGAATCAGTATATTTAATTCATATCGTGAAAACTGCTTAGTTTTTTTTTTTTTTACATTTGATTATTCATTTTCTTTTGTTAAATAACCCAAATGTAGGCCTACCTAAGACCCTAAACCCCTGTGGTTTACACTGATGTTAAAACAACACTTCTTGAGCTACAGTAAAACACTGCTGTTCACTTTCAGAAGTTCTCGGGATGCTTTCTTGTCACAAAAAGAATGTAACACGAATGCATGTATATAATATTAAACATATTTTACAGATCATTTAAGTATATTTTACACACTTTATCGTATCGCATATCGAATTTTTCTTCAATGTTGTGCAGGCCTACATTAAACCATGCTGTGGTAATCATATCTGGCGCTCGAGCGAAGTCGTCCTCACCAGTTGCTGTTGTCCACGGCGTCTCCGAACCCGGGAGTGTCCACTATGGTGAAGAGCAGCTGGACGCCGCCCTCCTTCATCAGCACCTTCGAGTGCTCCACCTGCGGGTACACACACCTGATGATGACCTCACCAGCGGCTGATGTAGACGCTCGTCTGCTTGCTCACTTCTGGTGTCTGATGCACACTGGCTATCAGTGGCGCGCGAGCGGACGCTTGTTATAAAATGTAAATTTCAATTCCTCTTATTGATTCCTTTGTGAGCATTTCAATATGACTTTAATCCATTCAAGCGTGAGACGACACGCTCACTGGTTTATGTGCTGCATGCGTGTGTAACAGTATATTACATCCATGCCGATATACTTTAAAGGTGGGATCAGTTGGTTTCTGCTGTTTGGAAGTTAGCCGGGCCGACACAACAACAAACGTGTAGCCAATCAGCATTAGAGTATGGCGGTGGAGGAGAGAGAACGAGCAAGAAATAGAGATGAGACAATAAAAGAGAAAAGCTCAGAAGAAATGACTGCTAGATAAAGGGTTATGTGTGGGCGAGAGCTTCAGGAGCCGCGTTAATATTAGAAACGCTTTCCAGCGCTGGAGAGAGCGAAGCGGGGAGGCCTGGAAACAGGTTCCTTGCGTTAGTGTTCTTGAGCCTGATATTTTTGACGGCTACAATGTTTTGCATAGAGACTAAATGTGAATGATATACACGTTTTTTTCTTTATTGGAATCGAAACGAGGAATTGATACGCAGAATCGCAATCGGTAAGCAGAATCTAAATCCGAATCGGAATCCTTAAAATTCAAACGTTAAAATTCCAACCCAAAGAAAAAAACCCACGCAATGAAACCAGCTATGTGCTCAACAGAGAGAGAGAGAGAGAGAGACCGGTAGAAAGAGAGACAGGTAGAGTGAGAGAGAGAGACACAGGTAGACAGATAGGGTGTGAGAAAGGTAGAGAGAGAGAGAGAGAGAGAGAGAGAGAGAGAGAGACAGGTAGACAGAAAGGGTGTGTGACAGATAGAGAGTGAGACAGGTAGACAGGTACACAGGTAGGGAGAGAGACAGGTAAACAGATAGGGAGTGAGGCAGGTAGAGAGACAGGTAGACAGAGTGGGAGGGAGAGAGAAAGAGATTGATAGACTGATATGAGACAGGTAGAAAGATAGGGAGTGAGACATGTAGAGAGTGAGACAGGTAGAGAGAGAGACAGGTAGACAGACAAGAGTGTGTGACAGATAGGGAGTGAGACAGGTAGACAGAAAGGGTGTGTGACAGGTAGAGAGTGAGACAGGTAGACAGACAGGGTGTGTGACAGATAGGGAGTGAGACAGGTAGAGAGTGAGACAGGTAGAGAGTGAGACAGGTAGACAGACAGGGTGTATGACAGATAGGGAGTGAGACAGGTAGAGAGTGAGACAGGTAGACAGACAGAGTGTGTGACAGATAGGGAGTGAGACAGGTAGACAGAAAGGAAGTGAGACAGGTAGAGAGTGAGACAGGTAGACAGACAGGGTGTATGACAGATAGGGAGTGAGACAGGTAGAGAGTGAGACAGGTAGAGAGTGAGACAGGTAGACAGACAGGGTGTATGACAGATAGGGAGTGAGACAGGTAGAGAGTGAGACAGGTAGAGAGTGAGACTGGTAGACAGACAGGGTGTATGACAGATAGGGAGTGAGACAGGTAGAGAGTGAGACAGGCAGAGAGTGAGACAGGTAGACAGACAGGGTGTATGACAGATAGGGAGTGAGACAGGTAGACAGAAAGGAAGTGAGACAGACAGGGAGTGAGACAGGTAGAGAGTGAGACAGGTAGAGAGTGAGACAGGGTGTATGACAGATAGCGAGTGAGACAGGAAGAGAGTGAGACAGGTAGAGAGTGAGATAGGTAGACAGACAGGGTGTATGACAGATAGGGAGTGAGACAGGTAGAGAGTGAGACAGGCAGAGAGTGAGACAGGTAGACAGACAGGGTGTATCACAGATAGGGAGTGAGACAGGTAGAGAGTGAGACAGGCAGAGAGTGAGACAGGTAGACAGACAGGGTGTATGACAGATAGGGAGTGAGACAGGTAGAGAGTGAGACAGGCAGAGAGTGAGACAGGTAGACAGACAGGGTGTATGACAGATAGGGAGTGAGACAGGTAGACAGAAAGGAAGTGAGACAGGTAGAGAGTGAGACAGATAGGGAGTGAGACAGGTAGACAGAAAGGAAGTGAGACAGGTAGAGAGTGAGACAGATAGGGAGTGAGACAGGTAGACAGAAAGGAAGTGAGACAGGTAGAGAGTGAGACAGATAGGGAGTGAGACAGATAGACAGAAAGGAAGTGAGACAGGTAGAGAGTGAGACAGATAGGGAGTGAGACAGGTAGAGAGTGAGACAGGTAGACAGACAGGGTGCATGACAGATAGGGAGTGAGACAGGTAGAGAGTGAGACAGGTAGACAGACAGGGTGCATGACAGATAGGGAGTGAGACAGGTAGAGAGAGAGTGAGACAGGTATCTGGGTATCAGTGGCGTGTGATGTAAAGCTGAATGCTGTAAGTTCCTCTTAGATCTACAAGCACAGGCATGCAGGACACATAGCAGAGCTCTTGCTGGAGGAGTTATGATCTTATCACGGCCTGATGAAGATATTTCCCAGTGCACAGCTGATAGGACACAAGCAGCATCCCACAGAGCTGGGCTTCATACCTGAACAGTTTTCTTGATTCTGTGCGAAGGCCCGGGGTATTCTCCGGAGTACAGGTCCGTCAGGAACAGAGAGTTTATCAGCGTGGACTTGCCCAACCCGGACTCTCCTGGAGGAACCACAGAAAATAGAGAAATGTGAGGTTAAACTGAGACCTGAATATAGTACAGCATCCAATAAAAACTAGATTTACTGTGAGAAATCTTAATGCTTGCAAGAGAGCAAAAGAGATCTAATCAATCAACTTACTGAGGTAAACGCTGTGAACGTCAGCGGAGAAAGGCATAAAGTTCATCATAACATTGTAAAATTAGAGGTTAGTGTTGTCAAAAAACTCGGTACTTCGGTACCAAGTCGGTACTAAAAAAAAAAAAATGTTACGGTACCAGCTTTTCTAGGTACCGAGTACCAGGTTAATCCAGTTCTGTTCTAGACGCGATGTCTGAAACGTGCACAGTTGCGTCCTCTTCATAACGCTGATATGGCTCTCTCTCTCTGAATCCACTTGTTGAAACGAAAGGAGGAAAGAGCCACATATGGAAATATTTTGGATTAGGCTAATGTCACGTTGCCATAAGAGGCCGATTATATGCAAATTCGCAATTTCAAATATAGGTGCGAGGCAAGCGCGCTCCTAATAAAAACTCGTTGGCGTTGCATAGCAACGACAGACGCCGCGTGAGAGCAAGCGCTTTGGAAAGAATAAGAACGCGCAAAAATATAATTAAAAAACACGCGCGACATGTGAACGGCCTCTAAAGTGCTTTCGGGGTAGTTTTACGAGTACATGAGCACAGTAGTATCTACCCGACACCAGAGTACTATGGTATTAGTATTGTCATTTAATGTCAGTGCCAGTTCTAGGCGTATTCTTGCCTTTATAACTCAGCAGGTTTAAAAAGCCTTTTTTAAATTAAATATGAATGCAGTTTTAGATTAATAAAAGGACAGTCAAGTCAAATAAAACATGTTTTATGGTAATGCTACAAAGATACCATTCATAAACATTACTTAGTTATCAACACATTGAGTGAACAATATATTTTTACAACATTAATTAATGTTTGTAAATGTTATTTATTACAAACACCTGATTGTTCATGTTTGTTCACTTAATTCATTGTGCATTAAATAAATAATGGATTAAAACTTTACAAACAACTTTAAAAATGTGTTAGTGTATACTATTGTTTATTTTAGGTCATTTTATCTAATCTTTTTCTAAAGTGTTTATAATACAAATGTACAGTTTCCATACTTGTAACCGTGATAAACACTTAAATATATGTAAATTTAAACTAAGCTTTGGTACCGAAATTGGTACCGAGAACCGTGAATTTTAACTGGTATCAGTACCGAATACTGAAATTTTGGTACCGTGACAACACTATTAGAGGTGTAACGATAGTCGTATTGAACCGTTCGGTACGAGGCTTTCGGTTCGGTACGCTTACAATTCTTACAATTGGCCGACCAAAAACCGCCACAACGTTACGCAACATCAAATGGCAAACGAATGAAAGCGGAACAAAACTCATTACGGACCGTTTAACAGCTATGGATGAGGAGATGCATTACAATTACAATTTATGACCTGTGACGCAAACATTAGCCATTAAAGACGAAATTTGTACAGCAAACAAGTTTCTCTGGAACTACGTGACACAAAACCCCTGCTCCCGACGAGCTGGATGGACGACACCGCCGTCGGTGTGTGAATGGGAGGCAAAAATGTAAAGCGCTTTGGTGGCCATTGGGTCTGTGATAACGCTAGATAAAGCAGTCCATTTACCATTTATAATGGATTATGAGCATGTGCATTGAAAAAGAACATGCATGACAAAAAATTATATAAATGTACCTATAACTGTTTTTATAATGCAGTACAGGTCTTAATAAGTCTCTACAGCTTAGCTATAAGCTAATAACCTGCACAGAATATGATGGCATTATAATATAACAATGCAATATGTAACGATAAAGTTGGCAGTGGCTTCATAAATTAATTAAAAAGCACAATTGATGTACATTTCCTGTATTCTTGTGTAATTTGACTTTCCCACATCGGATGAGCACTGGAGGAAGGCTAGAACTAATGGAGCGTGGCATTCATCCGCACGCTCACGCAGAGACTTCAGCACATTAACGGCAGAAACGCGCCTCTGGCAGGGCGAGTGCTTGGCTCGTTACAGACCTGGCCGCGTCCCAAACCCAAACACTAATGCAAGAACAACTGGGTAAAGTCATCAGATCAGCAAGAGACATCACTGATGACAGGGGCGAAAATTTCATCAAAATGTTGGGGGGGACAATAAACATAACAATTCTCAAGAGCAAATTTTGAAGGGGACACCAATAATACAGGCCAAAAAAATACAGAGGAAAGCCTTACTACTATTATTAGTGTAGCATGGAGACCATTTTATTCTTAAAATTTCTTTCTGGTTTAAGCCAGCGGCGAATCTGTTTACATACTCTCCTCACGCAGCGCAGCGATTTCATTTCATTCATTGACTCATTCTTTAACTATATTAAATGATATAAACCAACTAAATCACAGTGAAAGCGTTACAATCTAAATGCACAGCGCACCCGGACTTTCTCACCAATGTATGGCTAGCAATATTGTAATGTTTAATGACATGAAGATAATGTCTGTTCTAAGTTATTATTGTACTGTACAATTAAAAACAATCGTTCCTGAGTCTGCGGTCTGAAAACTTTACCTCAGAGCATCTGTTTACTGAATGAATTGAGAATCTCACCTGAAAAATCCAATAACACCAGCAATTGTCATTCAAGCAGCTGATTTCTGTAAATGAATGCAAAACTAAATGCATATTGCAGCATAGGGCGAAGTCAGGATCCGTCAGCACCGATTTGAGACAAAAATAATTTAAATTGTATATAAAACTATGTAAATGGCGCATGGCGCAGCATGGTTTTGAACACGGTCCTGAGCCATTGCTGGGCGCCGCGGACAGACGCCGAACGGCGCCGCCGGTGTGTGTACACTCATAGAGAATAATGTGTTCGAATTTTAAAGACGTGGCGCTGCGCGACGCTTCTCGTCCGGTGTGCGACCCCTTTACTGGAGTTCCACAACAACTCAAAAACTACAGTATGTTCTTCTCTCCCGCCACCGGAATGTGCGTGTCTGAGGTAAAAGGGACGGAAGCGGTGGACCAATGCACTGTAAGGCAAGGGAGGGGGGTCTCAAAATGTTTAGAACGCTTTTTTCGATATTGCCCTGTTTGCATTTGTGTTATTTTATTTCTTAATTATTTTAAGAACATATCATTACATTATTTACAATACACATATTTTAATGGTTTTTTTTTGGGGGGGGGGGGGGGCAACCCTCAGATAGGGGGGGTCCTGACCCCCCCACGATTTCCGCCTATGACTGATGATGTCAATCTGTTGAAATCGCAGGGCTCGACATGAACACTTGTCATGTGCTTTCAAGTGAATCAGTCAGAAAAAAAATTTAAATGTAAGCAATAATCTGAAGCAATATTCTCCTTAGTGTTAAATCAGTGTTGACATATTTAAATTATGATATTTTAACCTTAATAAATTAAGGTTCAGTTTATATTTTAAATTCTTTAATTTGATCAACTAAATTAGAATAATAAGAAAAGAATCAAATTATTTACACTGAAAATTACAACTGCATTAAATAAAGTGATGAGATAATATAGAAATAAGAAATGTTGGACTAATACTTTTAAACACGGGATAAAAGCGTTAATGCCGAGCCCTGTGTTGGGATATTATGTGATGAACAGCCTATAGACACTTATATAAATATTTCACAGCTAAAAAGACCACAAACAATGCCTTCCACTTGTGGGAATAACTCAACCATGAGTCCTCGGGGTCAAATTCATAAATGCAGGGGATGTCGTCCACAGAAACCGCAGCTCGCACGCAAAGCCAAAGAAAACATGGGAGAAAAACCAGGACAGATCCTGTATCACTTGTAAAAGAATTAACTGCAAACCTACTCCGGCTTTCTAAACCGTGAGTGCTCTTCACTGCAAAGCCCTTGCATTTTTCAAGATGAACAGGATGTGAAATCACTGCCATTCAACCCTCGTTTCCTGTGAGGTTTTCCAAACGGTATTTAGTCCAAATGTCAAGAATGTAGTCTCGACCTGGCAAGAGTTCAAAACTAGACCGGAAGCTCCTCGAGTGCTCATTACGACCGAAGCGCTCCACGAACCCATCACAGAGAGTAGCTAACTCCATTACACGTAGGCTAATAGTGTGGTTTATTAGTTGATATACATCAATGAAGGTGTTTTCTTACCCACAACCATCAGAGTGAACTCAAAGCCTCGTTTCACAGACTTCCTGTACACTTGGTTCGGGAGGCTCGCGAAGCCCACGTATCCCTCCAGATTCTTCTGCTGCTGAACACACACACACACACGTTGTAAAAGTTACAAATATTATGTTGTATATAAGGACTGTGCTCCTGCTAGAATTAATAAAGTAAACCCAAATGATTGTGAAATGATGATTATGATAAACACAACCAACACCATCAGATGACCCTTTCTATTTGTTCATCAGGATATCTCAGATACAGCAGCCAAACAAAACTTAAAGTTAATGTCTTAAGGGTCAAAAGCCCAACTAAAACCAAACACTGATTTAAAGTCAAATTACGGTTTTCCCCTTCAGTGATTCTGCTTGTTAACATCAGGTGTCTTCAATGTTGGCAATATAAAATAAAGAGTTCTTAATTCATCTTGGACGTCTGTCTGTTATATCTGTGCTGGTCATACTTACTGCTGTGTGTTTGGATTCCGGAAGTGCGATGAGATGAGTAACAGAAGTTCAGCATCGAACAGCATTTCGGGACGAGAAGGGAGAGAGCACAGAAATTTATGAGAACAGATTCATAACTATTTACACGCAACCTAAATTTCGTGGCAAAAGCTCAAGATTAGCTGGTAACTTTAATGGGAACAGAAACAAGGTTTAAACCAATTGGTAAATCAAATCAAACATACACAAATGACTACTAAAGACTAAGTTTATGTAGGAGTTTAGTGGGGGAAAAAAATGGAAAAAATAATACATATTACATTTTTTTAGATGTTATTTTATTAGTACTTTTTTATGGTAAAGTTAAATGCATTTTATTTATAAAATGTATATATATATATATATATATTATATATGAAGAGTTCAGATGCAAAAGCCTCTAAATGCCATTTGAAATTTTCTTCTAAAATGACCATTTTTATCAAACTTGTATATTTAAGTTCAGTAATTTCACTTAAATAACAATTAATAGGTAATTATCATTGCCATTTAAGTGAAATCACTGAACTTAAACATACAAGCTTGATAAAAATGATCATTTTAGAAGAAAATTTCAAATGGCACTTAGAGGCTTTTGCATCTGAACTCTTCATATATATATAGGCCTATATTTGTTATTATTATAATAAGATATTTATAAATACATTTAACATTACCATACTAAAGAGAGTATAAAAAACACATATAATATAACATTTCGCAATATAAATTGGGTTTTTGTTTGTACATTGAAGTAATTAGCTGCCTTTAAATTTAAAAATGCATCAGGATGATCATATTTGGCAATTGTAAAAAATTATTTCGGATGTTTGAAGTCTCTCCCACCTTTAAAACTCCATAGAATATATTTCTCACAATAAGTGACCAAAACAAAAATATAAAATCACATTTCCATGAAAGACTATGTTTTTCCAATTCCATCTAATGTTGCGAAATCAACTTTACAAAATTGTAAGATTGCATTAAACAAATAGTGAATAAAGCAGCGTTTGCTTCCCATCTTCAAGAGTCAAACTCATCACAAACTGCTGCTGAATATCAGTAATAAACGGAGAGTTTCCCTCCATCATAAACGAGTGTGTGTCGAGCGTTAGACGAAACACAGTAAACTCAGTCATGCTAGTGTTCGGGAACACACTCGTGTGTGTGTGTGTGAAACACTTCTGGAGGGAATTACACCCAATCATTCTGAATCTGAACACACACTTCGACTCAAGCTTTTCAAAAACACCAAACCAACATTAGAGACGCTGTGATGCCATTGGTCCACTGGTTACTCCAGTTATCCAATCACAGCCTCCCCTGAAGCAGTCACATGGGGATTTACTCAGTTAATGTATTTCTATCGTAGTTTATGTGTATGTATTCTTATCAGATTAAACATGTATTAAATAAGAGCATAAGATTATTTCTGTGCATTTTCATAATTTACATGCATCTTTGTGTTGCAATCCAGCATCTTTTAATGCGAAAAAATAGGTGGACAGAAACACTTATAGACTGAAATCAAGTCTCAAGAATCAGTTTTCATTTCTCATGATCTGAGGAACCTTTCCATCTAAAGACTCGTGTTTGAAATGAGTTTGTGCCAACATATGAATTATGTTAAGAAATCTAGACATGGCTAATACGTCAACAAAACTCAGATTAGCTTTGCTTTGAGAGCTAAATGTGAAAAGATTCAGCTAAATTCTCTCTCATTTTGTGACAATTAATGGAAAGTCAAATAAAGATAGTCGAGGCGGCTCTAAAACGTGCAAGCGAACTGCACAAGATGAGAAGTGATGGTGTTGGCAGGACAATTAAGGTCACAGCATCATTTATTCTGCATCATAACTTGGATTCTTTAAGTAATAAATCTCACGATCGGCCTTTACAGTATTGCTCTGAGGCTCTCAAAATATGCAATGAGATGCAGAGACTAAAGTAAAGCCAAATACTAAAGCCACACATTAACTAAACTACACAAACCTGGTGTCAGACTATGTGAAGTGTGCAGTTATTTAAAACAGATCTGAGCTACAGGATGTGAGAGCCTGACCGCAACCAGCATGACATACACAATCTACTTTCATCTGAGAAATTAACATTTAATAGCGGATTATGTCTGCCTACATGCACCAAATATATGTTATTCAACATATAGATGAAAGGACAAAACAGTATTTGAACTTTATCTATCCCTAAATTAGATTACTATGGCGATTACAAAAACAAACAAACCAACCACAAAACAACGTTGAATGTTTAGTTTTCAAACCGGTTCGCATGTCTTTTCTCAGTCTAGTAAGTTAACTTATCTATCCACCCTAAACATCATCTCTGCACGACATTCTTTAGAACTAAAAAAAAAAAATTAACAAGTTAAAAATAACGCAGACATTGAACAGCTGCGTCAATTCGGCAGTTGTGTGATTAGCTGCTAACCAACATTACATTAGCTTTCTTATGTTCTAATTAAAAAATAGTAACGTATTTCTGCAAAGTACGTGCGTGTGATGTTTAAGAATTATGAAAACTTGGGTGTAATTGGTTACTTTTGATTTAATTCTGACGAACGTACGCCGTTTTTCGCTCTTGAATGACTCGCGAGAGGAAAAACCCTGACAGGAAATGCCTCGCGCGCTCTCACTAACCTAACGTTAAATTACACTAAAAGAAGCAAACGCGCCAGTCGCGAGCGTCGATTTAAACTAGCGAAACGCTCTCGGTAAAGTCTACCGATCCTCAAACGGCGATGTTTTGGTAGATGGTATATCGTAAAAGTGATCAGAACTTACCCATGATGTTGATGTTCAAATACCGCTTTAGAAACCGATCGTTCTTTGGCAGCCCTACATTCCCCTTGTTACCACTTCCGTGAAACTCTGCTACGCCATTGGCGTAGAAACCGGTCACACGAGTGGAGTTTGATTACGCAAAATACGTACATTGACTTTGGTGAATGGCCAGGAAAATCAATAAATCTCGCGATATGAAGTGCGCACGCGCACCTCCCTGAGGACGATCTGGGCCGACCAGAAAAAATAAAAAGATTTTAAAAAATTGTGAAATATTTTTTAATCCTTATCACTGAAAAATATAATTTCTAAAGTGATGGTAGGCTATGAATATTAATTATTTTATTATAATTTATTAACTGTTTTTTTTGTATAATAGTGTTAAAATTATTTTACTATTTTGGTATTTTAAAATCAATCGTACTTTTAATATCTTTTTGTATTACATTATGTAAAAAATAAAAATAAAATACAATAAACTTAATTACATGTCTTTTAAACGTCACCAAAACAATATTCCTTGAAGAATTGCTTTTAAAAAAAATCTCAGTAGCAATCTTAATAGCGAAGTTTCACAAAAGTAAAAACAAATAAATAAATGACTATCAACACAATTATGTAATTGTTTTATTGATATAATAAAGTAATTATACGTCAATTATTTATTATAATTCTCTGTCAAGTGTAATTGTAAAGGAGAGATAAGATTACTGATCTATAATTGGTTAGAAATTAAAAGCCTATAAACTAAATAAAATACCCTATAAAATAACCAATTTTCTATTCACAATATTTGAAAATCATAGATAATAAAATAGACAAAAAATTAATGAAAGAAAAATAACATCTAAATTGTTAATATACTCTCAACTGCCATTATACATATGATTAGTATTTAGTACCACAAAAAATATATATTTTAGTTGAATATTTTAATATAATTTCTGCTACAAGTGCCTGTCAAGACTCTTATTTTGAAATTCCAATGTTGCGCATGCGCAGTTAGTGTTGTGTACAGCTCCATGTTCCAGTTTCAGCATGTTTCAATCATCGCTGCTGTCACTGTACATGATCTGACATTAACCGGTAAGGTCACGGAGTGGACACCATTGATTTTGACTGAAAGCATCTGTTTGATAGCAGATCCCACAAACATATTTACTAGTAACGTTAGAGCTGGTTTGAAATGATCGAGGAATGTATTGAATGTACAGTGTGTGTTTTAGTGTGTTGAACCGCAGCACCGGAGGGCCATGAGCTCCAGTCCCGGTTCGGGCTCGGGTTCTGCGGGCCCCAGGAGTCTCTTCAGTCACGTGAAACTCGAGAACCTCCTCGCGGGTCTGAGCGGAGGCGTGGCGTCCACACTCGTGCTTCACCCCCTGGATCTGGTCAAGATCAGGTTTGCAGGTGTGATTTCAAAACCCGACAATTAATGACATATAGATCTGTTTTATAGTTCATGATTTAGTCATACAAGGTGTATATGACATTCTTCTTTCTATAGACCATTTTGCAAGATGTAAACAAAACTGGTCCAGAAGCACTTCCTGTTTCAGTTTTTTAAAAGCTGGGATAAAATACAACCAACAGAACATATAAAACTGAATCAAAAAGTTAAACAAACATCTTTAAGATTTTTTCTTTACATGTGAAATAAAGAAAACAGTTACAAACTGAAACAGGAAGTGCTTCTGGACCAGTGTTGTTTACATCTTGCAAAATGGTCTATAGGAGTTATATTAGTTTTATTATATTATATAAAATGTCCTGGCTCTTCCAAGCTTTATAATGGGAATGAATGGGTGTCTTTTTGAAGTCCATCAAATCTATCCATAGAGATGCACTTATGATGGACAGATGCACTTTTATGATGGACAGATGCACTTTTATGATGGATAGATTCACTTTTATGATGGACAGATGCACTTATGATGGACAGATGCACTTTTATGATGGACAGAGACACTTTTATGATGGACAGATGCACTTTTATGATGGACAGATGCACTTTTATCATGGACAGATGCACTTTTATGATGGATAGATGCACTTTTATGATGGACAGATGCACTTTTATGATGGACAGATGCACTTTTATGATGGATAGATGTACTTTTATCATGGATAGATGTACTTTATGATGGACAGATGCACTTTTATGGACTTCAAAACAGAAACAGCAATTCACTGCCATTATAAAGCTTGGAAGAGCCAGGACATTTTTTACTAAAACTCTTGTATTCGTCTGAAAGAAGAATGTCGTATACACTAGGATGACTTCAGAGTGAGTAAAGAACTACCGCTAACACTTTTACAGTAAGATTCCACATGTTTCATGTTGCAGTGAGTGATGGGCTGGACCTGAGACCGAAGTACACGGGCATTCTGCACTGCATGAGAAGCGTCTATCACCAGGAGGGGCTCCGGGGCCTTTATCAAGGGGTCACTCCCAATGTCTGGGGTGCTGGGGCATCATGGGGGCTTTACTTCTTCTTGTATGTATTTATTTCTGTATGCATTTATCTTGCATGTATGTATGTATTTTAAAACATTATTGTTGTCATATTAAGTGGTCTATTACCAAATCAATTTAAAGGGGTTGTGACACGAGACATGTGTTAATCCCATCGATTAAAAAAAAAGTTTGTGTTTACATAAAATATGTGTGTGTACTGTGTGTAATTATTTTGTATAGATACACACATATGCATGTTTTTTTTCAGAAATATTTGCATGTATTTATTATATATTTTTATATAGTTTATATTATATATACATATTTTATATATACATAACTATATATAACTATTTTATATAAATATAAAAATAATACAAATTTTCTTAAATATATGCATGCATATGTCTGTGTATTTATATACAAAATAATTGACAATCCTTAAAGGAGACTTAAAAACTGATATTTTCAGATAGAGGCTCAGAATGAAGGTTGGAAATTATTGTTTTATGCATATGAATATTTGTTTTTTTGTGCAAAAAAAAAAAAATTATTAAAATTATAAGGGAATCTCAAGTATTATTACTAGAATATAATTACAAGAAATATATACTGTATATATATATATATATATATTCTTCTTTAATGATGATTTTTTATCAAACTTGTATATTTAAGTTCAGTAATTTCACTTAAATAACAATTAATAGGCAATTATCATTGCCATTTAAGTGAAATTACTGAACTTAAATATACAAGCTTGATAAAAAATCATCATTAAAGAAGAAAATTTCAAATGGCACTTAGAGGCTTTTGCATCTGAACTCTTCATATATATATATATATATATATATATATATAAATAACATCTCATTACCCCTTCAAATTTATAATTTTATAATGAAAGTTGGTAATTTTTGTTATATATATATATATACTGTATATATATATATATATATATATATATATAGTTATCATTAATTATTATTTCTTTTTTTACAGTAAATTATTTAAGTTTTTTATGGTTTTATTCTATATATATATATACTTGGGGACCATTTTCACTAGTTCAACAGTTGTTAAATGCTCTTAATGCATATGCATTGCAACTCGTGTGTGCAATACTTTTTAAAAGGTCCAGAGTCATTTATTCCGCCTAACACAGATAAATCATATACTGTTAGATATATCTCATGAGTATTATAACTTATTTTTATATTTGTAGTTACAATGCAATTAAAGCGTACACCAAAGAGCGCCGGCAGAAGGAGCTGAGCGCCGCTGAACACTTGCTGTCGGCCGCCGGAGCAGGTCAGGCTCTTTCTCACCCCTAAACCACAGCAAACACTACGATTAATACATCAGATGTGCTTAAATGATAACACTTTACATATACATATGGATGCATTCACACAAAATTCAGCGGATGATGTTATCATTCAGATTTTAACTTAACCACACACACACACACACACACACTGGGGACATCAGAGATTTATTTTACATCTTGTGAAAAGCATTACACCACCCCTTTAATATCACAAAAAGCTTTTCATGACACAAAGTGGGGTGCAAATCTATCTGGAGGACAGTATAAAATCTAAAGTCAAGAGTGTGTGTGTGTGTGTGTGTGTCACGGGTTCCTCTAATTGAATTAGACACATCGTTCATTTAAAGGATGTTCATGTGGATCTTGGTTTCACAACACGTGATCTCGTGTCTGTTAGGGGCGATGACGCTGTGCCTGACCAATCCGATCTGGGTCACCAAGACCCGGCTGGTTCTGCAGTACAGCGCCGACCCGTCCGGGAAACAGTACACCGGGATGATGGACGCGCTGGCCAAAATATACCGGCACGAAGGGGTCGCAGGACTCTATCGGGTAAAGCGCTGGACTGTTCGCTTTAAAGTGTCCTGAAACCCCTGAGTTATCCTGCTCAGAGTCGGTCTCTAGAAACTGTGGAAGAGTGGGACAGTAGAGGAGGGAGAAGGGGAGACAACGACACTGACCTGGAGCAGGATGAAACGGGGCTTTCATGGCACTTTAACACAGAAGCGTTCCACTGTGTGCCACTAGGAGGAGCACTTGCATCATGACCGAGCTTCGGTTCACCTCATGCTGTGGGCTTTGTTTGTTTGTTTCATCTAGCAGAGTTAACGCTTGTGATCCCTAGGGGTTTGTTCCGGGTTTGTTTGGGACCTCCCATGGTGCACTGCAGTTCATGGCGTACGAAGAGCTGAAGAGAGATTATAACAAATACAGAAACATGCAATCAGATGCGAAACTGGTTAGTATAAGCAATGCACACAAACATCAAACGATAAACCATTCAAACTGTTATTATTTTAAAGAGCAGCCATGATGTTCATCTGAACTCCTGAAACGCCTCTATTGTAGTCTCACGTCACAATATTCCTCATTATAATAATTAATGCGCAGAATAAATGGGCGGGGCCTGGGTGAGTTAGTTAGTAGTGTGTTAAACTGGAGGTTATGGAAAGGGGCGGGGCATTTCCCTAACACAATCGAAGCGCTCGAGCAATCACAACGCACTGATCCAGCCGACCAATCAGAGCACAGTGTGCTTTCAAGAGGAGGGGCTTCACAGAGACAGGAAGTAAACAGAGCGAGAATATGAGGAGAATAATGCATGAAACCGGTTCTAGTAGAGCCTGAAACACATCATCAAGCATGATAGAGCGGTATAATGCCAAACAGACACATTTATCAGAGCATTAAAGGATTAGTTCACTTTTGAAAAATCTTTTGCTGATAATTTACTCGCCCCCGTGTCATCCAAGATGTCCATGTCTTTCTTTCCTCAGTCGAAAAGAAATTTAGGTTTTTGATGAAAACATTCCAGGATTTTTCTCCATATAATGGACTTCAATGGGAACCAAACGGTTCAAGGTCCAAAAGACAGTTAATAACAGTTTCAGATGCAGCTTTAAACGACATCAGACGATGAATAAGGGTCTTATCAAGCGTTATTTCAAAACTTATTCCAAAAATGTAACTTTTCTAAGGACAAATGCTAGCCTTGCTCTATTCTGTGAGGCGCGTTTGTAACGTCACGTAATACGTAATTACGTTCAAAAGGTCACGGGCGACGTAGCCGGAAGTACAGAGTCAGTGTTTACAAGTTGAACGCATAGGTTGAACGTGCAAACTAACTCAAACGCCGTTTACAAAAAAAGGAATTAAAAGGAAAAACAACGATGTCGGACGATTTTGATTCTGTACTTCCGGCTACGTCGCCCGTGACCTTTTGAACGTAATTACGTATTACGTGACGTTACAAACGCGCCTCACAGAATAGAGCAAGGCTAGCATTTGTCCTTAGAAAAGTTACATTTTTGGAATAAGTTTTGAAATAAGCGATCGTTTCGCATGATAAGACCCTTATTCATCGTCTGATATCGTTTAAAGACATTTGAAGCTGCATCTGAAACTGTTATTAACTCTCATTTGTACCTTGAACCGTCTGGTTCCCATTGAAGTCCATTATATGGAGGAAAATCCTGGAATGTTTTCATCAAAAACCTAAATTTCTTTTCGACTGAGGAAAGAAAGACATGGACATCTTGGATGACATGGGGGTGAGTAAATTATCAGCAAAAGTTTTTTCAAAAGTGAACTAATCCTTTAATGGAGTTTGTTTGTGATTTTTTTCTGCAGAATCCATTAGAATACATTACTATGGCAGCTTTGTCCAAAATCTTCGCAGTGGCCACGACGTACCCGTATCAGGTGGTGCGAGCGCGTCTGCAGGATCAGCACAACACCTATGATGGATTGGTGGATGTCGTCCGGAGAACGTGGAGGTGAAGTCTGGGATTCACATGCACTCGAGCACAACACAAGCAAACCAAATAATGGAGATATAAATGACAAAACTTCACATTTATGCTTTTAAATCCCCCTGATCGGGAACACGGTTCATTAGTGAACTACTTTAGTTAACATGAGCTAGGAATTTTAACCTTTATTTATCCAGGTAAAATGTTTGAGAACCACTTCTCATTTACAAACATGACCTGTCCAGGATCAGAATGAACAACACTTCCTTGTGTTGAACCACAGTTTTCCTCTAATATATGTGTGTGTGTTTGTGCAGAAACGAGGGTGTATTGGGCTTCTACAAAGGGATGGTGCCAAACCTGATCCGGGTCACTCCGGCCTGCTGCATAACCTTTGTGGTTTACGAGAACGTTTCCCGATTCTTATTGGACCGGCACCAGTGAACGACCGGACCTGGGATGGGTCGTCCCGTCAGCGAAAGTGTTTGGCGTCCACAGACATCAGAAAAGCCTCTCTGGGAAACTGAACTGCATGATGCCACAGAGTTCACAGTGTAATTTGTGTCGTCACTCCTGCAGAAACTGCAACTGCTGTGTGACACGTTATACTGAATATGGACATGACGGATTGATTGTGTACGTTTTTTTAAGTGGCTGTAAGTTATGTTCTCTTAAAGGCTGTTTATTTCATCTAATTAAAAAGTGTAAAAAACAAACCAGGTTTATTTGTACCCATGTGACTGGTTTTGTGGTCCAGGCAGGGTCATAATTATGGTAAATATAGGGCTGGGAAATATATCAGTGTTGTAGTCGAGACCACCTCACTCGAGTCCGAGTCGACACCAAAACCAGAGAGAGTCGAGTCCGAGTCAAGACCGAGACCAGAGAGAGTCGAGTCCGAGTCGAGTCCGAGACCAGAGAGAGTCGAGTCCGAGTCGAGTCCGAGACCAGAGAGAGTCGAGTCCGAGTCGAGTCCGAGTCCAGAGAGAGTCGAGTCCGAGTCGACACCGAGACCAGAGAGAGTCGAGTCCGAGTCGAGTCCGAGTCCAGAGAGAGTCGAGTCCGAGTCGACACCGAGACCAGAGAGAGTCGAGTCCGAGTCGAGTCCGAGTCCAGAGAGAGTCGAGTCCGAGTCGAGTCCGAGACCAGAGAGAGTCGAGTCCGAGTCGACACCGAGACCAGAGAGAGTCGAGTCCGAGTCGAGTCCGAGACCAGAGAGAGTCGAGTCCGAGTCGAGTCCGAGTCCAGAGAGAGTCGAGTCCGAGTCGACACCGAGACCAGAGAGAGTCGAGTCCGAGTCCAGAGAGAGTCGAGTCCGAGTCGACACCGAGACCAGAGAGAGTCGAGTCCGAGTCGAGTCCGAGACCAGAGAGAGTCGAGTCCGAGTCGAGTCCGAGTCCAGAGAGAGTCGAGTCCGAGTCGACACCGAGACCAGAGAGAGTCGAGTCCGAGTCGAGTCCGAGTCCAGAGAGAGTCGAGTCCGAGTCGACACCGAGACCAGAGAGAGTCGAGTCCGAGTCGAGTCCGAGTCCAGAGAGAGTCGAGTCCGAGTCGACACCAAAACCAGAGAGAGTCGATTCCGAGACCAGAGACGGTCGAGTCCGAGTCGAGACCGAGACCAGTGAGGGTTGATTACCTAATTTACTTTTATTTACTTAGAGAAATCCTTTTTTTATTTTACTGAATTTACTTAGAGTTTAAAAAATATGATCAGTTTAGGGTAAAAAGGCCACATAGTAGGTGGTGTTAAAAGTAATTTTATTATAATTTGTCATGCGCAGTTGCGCACTAGAAAATCACCAATCACTGGGCGTGTCAATCAATTTAAAGAAATATTTTATTAACATACATTAATAATCATGAAACATATTTTTAATTGAACTGGAGTGGACTCGGGAATAATTCAGAGTCCTAAAAAAAAAAATGTTCGAGTACGAGTCAATTCCGAGTCCAAATGCACACGAGTCCATGACAAGACCAAGACCATTAAAATATGGTCTCGAGACCGAGTCCGAGACAAGTCCGAGTCTCGAGTACTACAACACTGAAATATATGAAATAGTCATTACATATTAGTGAAAATTCTCACACACACAAAAACTCCAGTGTTACATGAACTCTCCTCAGAGTTTGAGTCCACACTCAAGTGTTAAAATGAACACTGAAGCAGTGTTAGTTAGGGAGATAATTAACTGATTAATTGAGTGATGATTGAGATGTTTATTAGTGATGAACACCTGATGTTAACAAGCAGAATCACTGAAGGAAAGAGTCACCATTATCCTGATCAGTGTCTGCTTTAGTTGGGCCCAGTAGCGGAGTGGTAATCGGGAGAGTCGGGAGTTTTCCCGGTGGGCCGGTAGTGTTTCGAGGCCGCGAGGGCCGGTCTGATAAAATGTATTTATTGCACTGTAAAAAACTAATCCTGTAAACTACTGGCAGCTGTGGTTGCCAGCATCATACCGTAACTATACGATGTGTTACTGTTTTTGTGTTTGAGCATATAGCTGTTAAATTAAAGTTTTATACTGTAGCTGACAATACGGTATTTAGCTGTTAATTTCAAAAACAGTAACACACCGTAATTTTACGGTATGATGCTGGCAACCACAGCTGCCAGTAGTTTACCGTTTTTTTACAGGATTATTTTTTACAGTGTGGAAGTTCGCCTTGGCCCAAGCTAAGGGAAGAAAACATTTTTTTTTTACATTTTCTATAACGGAGCATATATTTGCACTAAGTGCCGGTCTTTACAGCAAAACGACGCTTGTCTTGAAACAGGTACAGTGGCGTAGGTCATAGGTCGTAGGGCGTGAAGTGCCTGAAAGCAGCTTTTGATGCGCTGAACGCGAGTTCGAATCCGCCTTTTGCCGAACTCTCTCTTCTCCCTTTTCCCAACACAGATATGTAAAGATGTAAAACCTAACATTAAGATCTCTAGCGTTATATTTTGCCAACGAACTCAAATTGAAACCATGATATGGCGTTACGCCATTATAATAACTGACATTAGAATAGCATCAGTTTGTGCTGCGCGATTACTTTGCTCACGCGATCATCTGGTGTTTTCTCCTAAATAAAAGCTCAAGGGTTTATTTCTTGCAAGTGAAGAAATTAGGACAAAAGTATTTTAATGTTCCTATGTTATAGTGTAATGTAGGTTAAAATATACTTTTGAAGTACTCATTTTCGTTTACATAGTAGCTAATGGATTTTACAGTATGTCATAGGAATAATTATAAATCATTATTACATTATTATAATAATTGTTTGGCATCCTAAAACACCATTGATGATGTAATGCAGACTGAGACTCTCATAACTAAAAAGATGTTTGAGCTCTGTTTATTGTCCTGGTACAAATCAATGCTTTTTCTTTGTTCAACGAGCAGTTCATGGGTTGAAGCTCTTAATTGTGATCTCTCAGAGAGCACGAGATTGATGCATTTAACCTTAAAATATCCAAAATTTTGAGTCCTCCCAACATAGTTTTACAAATTACTATGGGAAAGAACGCCCATTTATGAACTTTACTCCAGCATAGTACAACAAAGTTCCTTTTAAATCAGTAAAACTGTAAATGCTATCGGCCATTAAAATCGTGCCGGCTACGAGGGCCGGTGGTCTACGAAATTTCCCGGTAGATTTTTTGGTCCCACTCCGCCCCTGGTTGTGCCCTTGTCTAAAAAAAAAAATAGTTTAAACATTTTAAAGTCAAGGGTAACGAGCCCAACTAAAGCAAACACTGATCACCATAATGGTGACTCTTTACGTCAGTGATTTGGCTAATTGTTATCAGGTGTCTTCACTAATGGTCAATCATCACTAATTATCTCAGTATCTTTAACACTGCTTCAGGTTTACCACTCTTGAATGTGAAGTTTCAATTTAACACTGGGGGTTTTTGCTGGATAGCCCCTTTAATATGCTTTATCAATTAAATTTTTGTGAATCAAGTAAACAGTAAAACTGTGTTTTATGTGTAAATCCGTTCCATCATTGTTCAAACCAAACCTCAAAACACACAGATCTACTGAATCTGACATTTTCTGGCTCATTTCTGTTAATGAGCTCAAATTCATGTCCTTAAAAATGAGAACATGCACCCAAAGTTAGGAATTCTTGAAAAATTTTATTGACATTTAAAAAGTGATCCATAGTTTTTGCAGTGCCTGTCCAGACTCAAACTGTTCAATACGAGACTTGTGCATCAGTTGGATTGAAGGATCTGGGCCTCATTTATTAAACCTCTAGTTCAGGTAAAGCAATCGGACGTCGATTAGTGTATTTTTTAAACGTTAATGACATTAATTAGATTGGAAACACTTCAGGTGCGCACTGTCATTTCAAGAAGATCATTTGCAGTTTATAGATTTGACATCTGGAAGATGTTTTTTTTGTCCGTATCGTTCTGTGAATCACGTGTACACACATTTGGGAATTGATTTTCAATGCGACGTCTGATAAACGAGGCCGAGGCGTGTGACTGTGCCGAGGGCTGGAGAATGTCACTGCAATTATCCAACAAAATATCAAACCATGTTGCACCGTGTTTTCACAGGAAGCCACAGTCGGTCAGTAGAGTGTTTCAACCCACATTTGGGTCAAATATGGACACACCAAACCATTGGGTTAAAAATTTGTATTTAACATTTTTACATTTTTAACCCAACGGCTTTTTTCAGAGTGTGCCGTTTGGTTGGATGTCATTGAGATTATGTGAGAAACAGTTTGGAAACGGACTGGACGGACAGAAGACGCAGTATTGCTGATGATGATGATGAGGAAGAGTTTCAGACGCTCATGGAAGCTCTTCTATGATCACTCGAGACACCGAGTTCCAGCCGGTAGAAGCGTCTCCGTGAGGATAATCTCCACATGTTCCGACCCACACCGCCACATCCACCAGGCCTTTCCCCACTCCTCCACACACACCTTCCACTGAAACCAGCAGACACAGCGGTGTTAGACTCCCATCCTCGGCTCATTCTGACCCACACACTCTAAAAAATGCTGGGTTATTTTAACCCAATTTTGGGTCAAATATGGACAAACCCAGCTGTTGGGTTACATTTATATATTGCATTTTTTAATCCAACAATTGTGTCCATATTTGACCCAAAATTGTGTTAAAACAACCCAGCATTTTTTAGAGTGCAGTTCTTTTTTAAATTGAGTGTTCATCAGGGGGGTTCAACACCCTCGGACTGTTATCGCACTTGAAACACGAATAAACAAAATTAGTTTTGTAGTTGAAATTGAAAAAAAAAAAAGGTAAAACATTACCATAGAAATGATTATATTGTCTACATGTGTATCTGAGAAGTGAACTGGCTTTAGGACCCTGAGGAACAGCTCCTCTACTCCATATAAAGCTATAAGCCCATCTAGAGTCATCAAATATCATGAGTTATTATTATTTTCGAGCTCTGCAAAGACTCCCAATGTACGATATTTATAGCTGGATTAAAAAGTTTGGTACTTTCCTGTTATCCGGACCCCACGATGGCCTACCCCTAACCCCGCCCTAAACCTAACCATCACTGGGGTTAAGACCAATCAGGGACGATGGCCTACCCCTAACCCCGCCCTAAACCTAACCGTCACTGGGGTTAAGACCAATCAGGGACGATGGCCTACCCCTAACCCCGCCTAAACCTAACCGTCACTGGGGTTAAGACCAATCAGGGACGATGGCCTACCCCTAACCCCACCCCTAAACCTAACCGTCACTGGGGTTAAGACCAATCAGGGACGATGGCCTACCCCTAACCCCACCCCTAAACCTAACCGTCACTGGGGTTAAGACCAATCAGGGACGATGGCCTACCCCTAACCCCGCCCTAAACCTAACCGTCACTGGGGTTAAGACCAATCAGGGACGATGGCCTACCCCTAACCCCACCCCTAAACCTAACCGTCACTGGGGTTAAGACCAATCAGGGACGATGGCCTACCCCTAACCCCACCCCTAAACCTAACCGTCACTGGGGTTAAGACCAATCAGGGATGATTATTTCCAAAATGGTATATGGTGGGGTCCAGATAACAGGATACCAAAAGTTTATGCAGTAAATTGTGAGTTATTTTAAATTTAAGTTGAAAGAATGTGAGGGATGTGTTTAAATTAGCCTACTATTTATTATTTATCGATCAAATCCAGTCATTTAAAAGGTAAATAAAATTAAAAAATAACAAAAAATCTTCCCAGAAATTGCATTAAAAAAAAAGAAAAATATGCTCAAAATTAAATAGAATAAGTTTTCTGATAAAAAAAAAAGAAGTATAATTTTAAAGCTTTGGGGAATGTTTAAATTACCCTACTATTTATTATTTATCGATCAAATCCAGTCATTTAAAAGGTAAATAAAATTAAAAAATAACAAAAAATCTTCCCAGAAATTGCATTAAAAAAAAGACAAATATGCTCAAAATTAAATAGAATAAGTTTTCTGAAAAAAAAAAAAAAAGAAGTATAATTTTAAAGCTTTGGGGAATGTTTAAATTACCATACTATTTATTATTTATCGATCAAATCCAGTCATTTAAAAGGTAAATAAAATTAAAAAATAACAAAAAATGTTCCCAGAAATTGCATTAAAAAAATGACAAATATGCTCAAAATTAAATAGAATAAGTTTTCTGATAAAAAAAAAAAAGAAGTATAATTTTAAAGCTTTGGGGAATGTTTAAATTACCCTACTATTTATTATTTATCGATCAAATCCAGTCATTTAAAAGGTAAATAAAATTAAAAAATAACAAAAAATCTTCCCAGAAATTGCATTAAAAAAAATGACAAATATGCTCAAAATGAAATAGAATAAGTTTTCTGAACAAAAAAAAAAAAAAAAAAGAAGTATAATTTTAAAGCTTTGTGGTAATTTTAACCTGCGAGGGTAAGATGTGTTACTACTGTAAGTGTGAGGGAAGGATGATTATTTATTTATTCTATCATTCAACACAAGGCTTCGTGTTCCTCTTTAATGTCACTATCGCCAAATAAACCCAAACATCTCATATCATCCTTTTATTCGGCAGAGATGGCCAGATCACATATTTCAAATATTATTTTTACAAATATAAATACAAATCAGTGGCTCAAACAGGTTAAACTGCATTTCACTCAATATAATATTAGTAGGCCTACTAAAATCTAATGATTAAAAAATGCTGGGTTGTTTTAATCCAATGGACAAACCCAAATGTTGGGTTAAAAATGTAATTAAAAAATGTAACCCAATGGCTGGGTCTGTCCATATTTGACCCAAAGTTGGGTTAAAACGACCCAGCAACTTTTAGAGTGTAATTAAGAACATTTAAGTCCTGACAATTGTAAAAATAAAGGTACTATATTATTTATTGTATAAAGTAAATTAATTAATGAATTCCAACCACATCATTTCTCATAGTGTTATGGTTATGGTGGGGTTCAGAGGTCACTGACCTGATGAGGTTCTGTGGATGTTGATGGTGTTGTTGAACTCTGGGCTTCCCTGATCCAGGTAAATGATGGACTCCACAGGTAATGGAGACGCACATTCGGCCCCGTTGAAGGTGAAGTACCAGCGCTGGCAACACGCCGCCTTACACTTGAGCCTGAGCGAACCACTGAACAACACACGGAGAGAGCTGGACACTTGCTGCTTAGTGAACGTGCACTCCTGAGGAGGAAGAAACCACACATATACCGGAGAAAACATTAAGGATGTGTGCCCTTTTGGACGTGAACGCTGGTATTAATGAAGCCGTTTGATTGGTCAGATGTCTTGCTGTGCTTCTGATTGGTCAAATGTCTTACTGTGATTTTCCCCAGGTCGATGCCGTAGTTGAGCGCGTTCCAGGCGCACTGCTTATAGTTGGGTCTCCAGGGCTCCTCGAAGCGCTCCGTCACACACTCCCCCTTCTGTCCTCTCGCCCCTTCTCGCCCCGGGACACCCGGAGTGCCTGGGATCCCGTTCACTCCCGGATTCCCATCTCTTCCCGGGGGGCCGGCGGGACCCTGGAGGCAGCTGGAGAACTGCAACACACAGGATTCAACAGCTGATCTCCAGTCAGTGTAAAGCGTCAGGAGTGATGATGAGGAAAACATGCAGTGGCTGAAACTCTTTTGCACAGTCACTAAAGAGCATGGAGACACACTCATTCGTCCATCCAGGCTGTAGAACGCACGTTAATTCATGCTAGCAACATGCTAAAACATGTTAACATGCTAATTCATGCTGTGCATATTCATGTTAGCAATGTGTTAAAACGTGCTAACAACATGCCAATCCGTTAATTTATGCTAACAATGTGTTAAAACATGACGGCAACATGCTAATTCATGCTAGCAACATGCTAAAACATGTTAACATGCTAATTCATGCTGTGCATATTCATGTCAGCAATGTGTTAAAACGTGCCAACAACATGCTATTAAAATGCTAAAACATGTTAACATGCTAATTCATGCTAATAATGTGTTACTTAAAACATGTTAGTAACATGTTAATTCATGCTGACAATGTGCTAATTCATGCTAGCAACATGTTAACAAGCTAATTCATGCTAGCAACATGCTTAAACATGCTAACATCCTAATTCATGTTAACATGCTAATTCATGCTAATAAAATGTTAAAACACGTTAACATGCTAATTCATGCTGACAATGTGTTAAAACATGTTCGCAACATGCTAATTCATGCAAGCAATATGCTTAAACATGTTTACATGCTAATTCATGCTAGTAACGTGCTAATTCATGCTAGTAAAATGCTAAAACATGTTAACATGCTAATTCATGCTAGTAATGCGTACTTAAAACATGTTAGCAACATGCTAATTCTTGCTAGCAACATGCTAATTCATGCTGACAATGTGTTAAAACATGCTAGCAACATGCTTAATCCATGCAAGCAACATGCTCAATGTTTACATGCTAATTAATGCTAGCATGTTAATTCATTTTAGTAATGTGTTAAAACATGCTAGCAACATGCTAATCCATGCTAGTAAAATGCTGAAACATGTTTACATGCTAATTCATGCTAGTAATGTGTTAAAACATGCTAGCAACATGTTAATTCATGCTAGTAAAATGCTAAAACATGTTTACATGCTAATTCATGCTAGTAATGTGTTAAAACATGCTAACAACATGCTAATTCATGCTAGTAAAATGCTAAAACATGTTAACATGCTAATTCATGCTAGTGTTACTTAAAACATGTTAGCAACATGCTAATTCTTGCTAACAACATGCTAATTCATGCTGACAATGTGTTAAAACATGTTCGCAACATGCTTAATCCATGCAAGCAACATGCTTAATGTTTACACGCTAATTAATGCTAGCATGCTAATTCATGCTGACAATGTGTTAAAACATGCTAGCAACATGCTAATTCATGCTAGTAAAATGCTAAAACATGTTAAAATGCCAATTCATGCTATAATGTGTTACTTAAAACATGTTAGCAACATGCTAATTCTTGTTAGCAACATGCTAATTCATGCTGACAATGTGTTAAAACATGTTCGCAACTTGCTAATTCATGCAAGCAACATGCTTAAACATGTTCACATGCTAATTAATGCTTGCATGCTAATTCTTGCTAGTAATGTGTTAAAACATGCTAGCAACATGCTAATTCATGCTAGTAAAATGCTAAAACACGTTAATTTATCAATTTGATATTCAGTACCGAAAAATGACGTGTGTGCAAAAAAAATGCACTTCGGAGTCTCTCAGGGGGTGCAGCAGACTAATGCAAATGCCACTTATAGATGAGAAACCTATAGCCGAAATGCATGGCTCTCTCCGACCATGCAGAAAATAACAATAACACATTTTTTAAAAACGCATGCATAATAGGCTATTTAGAGTTTTGTGCATTATCGAGGCGGTGACGCACCGAACATTAACATCTGCATGTAAGACTGGAATATGAAGCGATGTGATCATGACAGGAGTGCAGGAGGTCTGCTGTCACGAGTCTCTCTGCAAGAGTAATGCAGCGTCTCATCAGCGAGCCTGCGAGAGCGAGCAGAGCTGTGGAAATAAGGGCCATTAAACAGCCCATAAATCTCCCGGTACCGGCCACGGGCCACGGGCCACGGGCGGGGAATATATTCATATTTATAAGCTCACGAGTCGCACTGCCAGACCACGCACAGTACGTTTGGCTCCGCTGCGCTTTACTGACAGAACACACCTGAGCTTTCCACACACACACACACACACACTTCCTGATCAATAGTTCTGCTTGGAGTCGAGTGTTTTTTTGTTTTTTGTTTTTGTGAGAATAACACAATGAAGAAATGTGCAACATCATTTTTGTCCAGAAACCACGAAAAACAAGAGCTCCAATGAAACATTAATAACTGATTATGTGCAGTCAACGGACAGTATACTTTCTGTTTTTCTATGCTGTCATTAAAAAACAATATCTAAAATATCTTTTTACAATATCTTAAATCTGAAATATAAAATAAAAGTGAAGTAATAAAAACTTTAATAGTATATAAATAATGTTAAAATAACACGGAAACAGGCTTTATGCAGTCAGCGATGTGAATGCTTGGCCAGTGGAGAAAGTTGTTACATTTTCCTAATACTTTATAATATATTTTTTTCTTTGGAATAATGTGAATGGATTAATCATTCACAATAACACCAAGAACTTGCATTAAAAACGAAATTAATATAAATACACAATTACTTAGAGAACATCTATTCTGCTTTTCTCCACTCATCTTTCTTCAGTGTCCAAAGTCCCTTCTCTATATCAGTCATTATATTATATTATATTATATTATATTATATTATATTATATTATATTATATTATATTATATTATATTATATTATATTAGCCTATATTATATTATATTATATTATAGCCTATTATATTATATTATATTATATTATATTATATAATAAAGTCCCTTCTCTATATCAGAGTCATTATATTACATATTATATTATATTATGTTATATTATATTATATTATATCATATATCAGCGTCAGTGTTTCTGAACTCCTGAAACGCCTCCATTGTCTCGAGTTTCTTGCAGGAATGAACACGTCACAATATTCCTCATTATAATAATTAATGCGCAGAATAAAGGGGCGGGGCCTGGTTGAGTTAGTTAGTAGTGCGTTAAACTGGCGGTTATGGAAAGGGGCGGGGCATTTCCCAAACACACTCGAAGCGCTCGACCAATCAGAACACAGTGTGCTTTCAGAAGGCGGGGCTTCCTTGAGACAGGAGTGCCAGTGTCTACTACACCACTAAGAATATATATTGCATTCTGTTATGAATTGTTAGACATATTGTGCATCTCAACAAAGCATGAATTCATTGGATAGCGTGTGTTTTAATCAGTCCTAACGAAGAGCAGTGTGTTCTCTGAGTCTGGTTGTGTCTGTTCTGTTGTAGTTAGACACTGGTTATCAAACACACTCATGATTTGCTGGTTTATATCTGGACTATTCAGAGTTCAACTTAGTTTCTTTCTAATGAAAATGCAGATTCCACATGCAGGCAAGATTGTTGAATTCAATTATGCAAAGGATGAATATCAAATTTGTCTTGAATTGGACCTCGGGAGATTTCGAAGCAATCAGGGGATGAAATGAGGCGCAGAATATTCAACAGATAACAGCTGTACATTCAGCTCACTTTGATGACGATGTCTATGGTGTACTGATATTCAAAAATATTATGTGAAACTAATCGTATTATGCAGTGATCGCCATTTCAAACTGTAACATGCTGCTTTTGTCACATGAACTCATCAAATTAGCATTTGGGGGATTTTGGTGCATTTGTAAATTAAATTAAAAACCTTAAACGTACATAAAACTTTACTCGGCACGAAACCGGCCCCCAAAGCCCCACCGCAAGTGAAAAACGCAAATATCTCAGCGAAATCTCAATGTATCCATCGGAAACCGGGCTCCTTCGAACCGTCTCGCCGAACTGAACACAACCATATGCATTTCGTCATTTTTGTTGGAGTATTCGCGGAGATATTAGCCGAAAACCGTCGGCCGCGCTCTGAAATGGCGCCACAAGTTCGGGAGAAAAACGCAAATATCTCATCGAAAAATCAACGTTTCGACGCCAAATTTTTATCGAGTGGAGAACGGGCTGAGACCTTTCGAAAAAGACCACTTCCGGCCTCGTGGGCCACCGTATCTGTATCTCAGGCCCCCAAATCACATCCGGAAGCGAAAAACGCAAATCTCAGTAAAAACATAAATAAATAGAGTAACATAACATTTGTTTATAGGCCTATTGTATACTACTGTACAATATTGACGGGTATTTCTTACACTGGGCAAAGGCTTTAGTCAATGAGAAATCAGTTATAATATAGATTATTCCTTAAAGAGAGAATCCGCCAATTACTTTCCAATCACTCACACACATAACTCTTCCCGACAATAAAGTCACGATAAACTGAAACACTTCACTTAAAGCCTCTATTTAATGCATTATAAAAGTATTTTAATGCATTAATTATGCCTCATCATGCATGAACAATTGTAACCACAGTTATAATATCTATTAATTGAACACCTTTAGGAAGTATAATGCATTAAAACACATGATAAACAACCAGTTTCAGATGCAACAAGGAATCTGCAAATAATGGATTTTAACTTTGCACTCTCAGAAAAATAGGTACAAAAGCTGTCACTGGGGCTGTACCTTTTCAAAAGGTAAACCTTTGTACCCAAAGGCTGCATATTGGTACCTTAGTGGTACATATTAGCACCTAAAATGTACATATTAGCACCTAAAATGTACAAATTAGTACCTAAATGGACATATTAGGACCTAAAATGTACATATTAACACTTAAAATGTACATATTAGCACCTGAAATGTACATATTAGCACAAATTAGTACCTAAATGTACATATTAGGACCTAAAATGGACAAAAGTTTACCTTTTGAAAAGGTACAGCCCCAGTTTTTTCTGAGAGTGTGGTTACAATTTTGAAAATATGTAATGCACTGTGAATATACAATGCATTATATGTGTATATGTTTCACATATTTAGTGTTACTGATAAACCTTCTTATATGTAAGAAAAAGCACCGATGAGATCTTTTATATCTAATTTTTATGAAGACTTATTGCTTCTCGAAGGTTGAAAATCTGACGTTTCTCCTCTACAGGATAAGAAGAGTAAGTTGCAAATAAAGTTTGCAAGCAAAACTCAGAGTGATCTCAAACTTTCCCCCAAGAACGAATGATCTGAGCGGACAAACATCTTCATTCACTGAATACAGTAACTGAGTCTCCGGAGAGAAACCTGCGAGTGTGGGTCTAAATGCATTATACATTAAATCTAACTCGTTTTTCCACAAAAAAAGTAACAGAAATAATAAATAATTACTTAAAGTCTTACTTTCTCCATGTAGTCCACATCCTTCTGCCGCAGACCTCTGGTTTTTAATTTCTCTGCTTCGTAACATGTAAATAATAAGAAAGGGACGATCAGTACTGGTGTGTTGAAGAGTCCCATATCTGAGGACGGGCGTCTCACATCTGTGGAGCTCAGGACTGAGAGAGAGAGAGAGAGAGAGAGAGAGAGAGAGAGAGAGAGACTGATGTGTCTCTCACGGGCCCAATTATTCCCAGACCGCCAGTGAAACTCACTCTACATGTAGAGTTGTAATATAATGGGTTATGATCTGACATGAAACAGGAATCAATATTTCTGATGGTCTTATCAGCGGAGCCTACTGACCTTTGACATTTTCTCCTTCGTGCAATTATGATGTAACAAAGACTTTCTGTTAGCAATACAATATTTTGTGTGTGTGAG